GGGCACCGCACCGGCTGAGCCTCGCGGGGCCGGGCCGGCCGGGGGTGCGGCGGGCGCGGAAGGACGTCGGTAGGGTTGGGTTCCGCCGCTGCGCAGGGCGGCTGCCCCGCGCCCCCCCGCCCCGCTCCGCGCCGCCGCCCGGCGGAGGTGACCCCGAGCCGCCCTGCAGGCCGCGCCGCCGCGCGCGTTCCCGCACCGCCGGTCGGGGGGAGCCGCGCTCGTGGGGGAGCGGCGGTGCGTTCGGCTGCGGTCCGCGCCTTTGCTGACGGAACAGATTTTGTTGCAGCCGAACCCCTGATGGGTCGTTATTAATTATGTACGAGTATAAATGGAAGGACGGTGATTCCCGCTCCGAGGGTGGGGGGGAACCCACCCCACGTGGCTGTGCGCGCCCCGAGCTGGGGGGGATGGGGTGGGGTGGGATGGGATGGGGCGCCCGGCCGGCCCGGCAGCGTCCGCAGTGCACGGTGCGCGCCGGCCCGCAGCCCCCACACAGAGCTGGCTGTTGTGGGCAGAGCCAGCAGCGGACACCTGGGCCCCGGTGTGAGCAGCAGCCAGGCTGTGAGAAGGCCAGCACGGTTTGTGCTTCTCTTTGCAGTAACAGCGAGCTGCTGCGGGGAAGCAGCAGTGGGTTCCTGCAGGGCGGTGTTCTGGGACGGCCAAATGGAATGGTTTTATGGCCTGAAATAACCAAAATTTATAGGCAGAGCTCTGGAGATGGTTCCGCTTCCTGTTGTCCTATGAACAATGCTGACATCTTTGGCTGCACAAAGTGTGCTCGCTCCCTCGGTTGTTATTTGAGAGGCACCTGCCCTCTCAGTTGTCTCCTTGAGGACGATCCCGAGCTCTCAGGACAAGAACATGTTCCCAGTTACACACGCAGCCTCCGCAGCTCCCCATGACACCGACCGCGCAGTGCAGCACGCTCTGCTCCCCGGCCTTCGGTAAACCCGCTCCTTAGCATCCGGGCACCTCAGTTAATCTTTTATTTCAGCAGGAGAGGAGCGGTGACCTGGTACTGGAATCGGATTGCTTCCTCTTTGCTTTCCTTATGTAAGCTTTGGTTTTAAACTTTGGAGTCTTAACGGAGGTCAGGCGAGAGATGGTCTGTGACTGAGTGAAGGAGAGCAAGCTGGGGCTCAGAGCCTCACCCTGTCCCATCTCCTGTGACAGCCCCTCAGAGTGGTCGGAGCCCTCTCTGTGCCACCTGAGATGTTCCCTGGCAGCTGGAAGGGGAGCAGTGCCCAGTGAGCGCCTGTGGGGCTGCAGCGTCTATGGCTGCGTCTGCTGCCTGGTCTGTGGCTGCTCTGCATTGCTGGGGCTTTTAGTGACTCATCCATACCTCATTTCAGAAATGATCAAGAAGCTGAAATGTTTAAGGATCCCCACAGAAGGATCTCTGGAAAGTCAGGATAGCGAGTGATGCCCATTCTGGTGCTGTGTTTAGGGGTGGATATTTGCTGAAGTGCTGTGTTGGCATTCTATTGCCAAGCATCAGGCCATAGCCAGGGATTCTGGTGCCAGAGACATGAGGCGCAGTTCTGAGCTTTGGTGCTGTAGAAGAATTCCTTATGGCAGTACCTGTGCAAGGTATGGCACCTGTGCTTGGATGACACGTGCTGAAATGAGGCACTGACCAACAGTTGCTGCCCTTACCCTTGCTCTCCTGAAGCAGTGCCGTATTCATTGTAACAAATAGTCACATATCCAAAGACCAGGGGAGGAGCAGAACTGCACCAGTGAGCCCATGGCTGGGAAGCGTGAGATGCACAGCAAAGCCAGGTGCTGCGGGTTTGGTGGGAAGCTGAAAGCCAGGTCTGTGGGCACAGCGTGGGCAGGGGCTCTGGTGGCTCCTTTAGGGCTGCACTTGCACGTATGTAGCACTGCCTTCCTGTGCCTCTACCAGCCTGTTCCCAGAGCGTGCTGCTTTGCCTGCTGGAACCTCTCAGTTCCAGTGCAGAACCTCCCTGTGCAAACGCAAAAGTGAGTGGAAAGAGATGCTCTTCTCCGTGCCTTCTCTGGCATAGGAGTAGAACGCCTTTTCTAAATTTTGAAACGGTTACTTCTTTCAGCTGTAGAAATGGTTGCCTTGTCTCAAAAGGGAAAAATACAGCATTATTAGGACATGGAAGCTTTTTGCGGTGTGGTTTTTTGTTTTTGTGGAACTAGCGCGCTAGCTGTGCAGCCGTCCAGAGGTGCCCCTTCCACCACCCTGACCGTCTCCCTCCATCTCTCACCCTGCTCCAGGTCCGGGCTGTTCTGCCTGCCGTCCTCCTTCCCGAAGCCCGAGGATCCTCCTGCCGCCGCCTGCGCTGTTCCTGCTGATCCCACGCGTGGTGAGACGCAGCCGCAGCCTGGGGACGACCAGGTGCCGCCGCTGCTGCCCGCGCCGCCCGGCGTTGTGCCGCCATACCCGCCCTACTTCGAGGGAGCGCCGTTCCCGCGCCCGCTGTGGCTGCGGCACACCTACAGCCAGTGGGTTCCGCAGCCGCCGCCGCGGGCCATCAAGAGGACACGGCGACGTTTGTCGCGGAACAGAGACCCGGGGCGGCTGATCATGAGCACCATCAGGCTGCGGCCCAGGCAGGTGCTCTGTGAGAAGTGTAAAAATACCCTGAACCCCGAGGATGAGAACGCGGCGGGGCAGAACGCTAAAACGAGGAGGAAGCTGAGCGTTCAGGACAAGGAACAGAAAAAACACAGCGACTCTGAGTGCCTGGAGAAAAGGAACAAAAGAGAGAAGAGAGAGGATGACAAGTTTGCCGGGGAGCTGGTACATCGAACACCAGTTATCAAAATATCCTACAGCACGCCGCAAGGGAAAGGCGAGGTGGTGAAGATCCCCTCCCGGGTGCACGGCTCAGTGAAACCATTCTGTCCTGAACGGCTGTTGCAGAACGGAGAGGAGGAGCAGGAGGAGGTCGGAGATGCTGAGCAATGCCAAGAAAGCAAGGGCTTCACGGACAAAGCAGCGGGCAGCCAGCTTGCTTCCATCCCCAAACTGAAGCTGACGCGGCCGGTGCATCCCAGTGCTGATGTCCCACCTCCCAAGATACGGCTGAAGCCCCATCGCATCAACGACGGTCAGAGCGTTTCTATCTATAAGGCAGAACTTATCGATGAGATAAACGTCCTTCAGAACAGCAGGGAGACGAATCCCAGTGCGTTTTACACCAATGAACCGACAGACAGAGGTTTGGCTGAGATCTCTTCCGGGAGTTCGGGTGAAGACGATGACTTTAAAAGGTTTCCCCAGGGTAAAGACGGACACGATAACTTGGCTTTCCTTATGAATTACCGGAAGAGAAAAGCGGATTCTTCTAGTTTGTCGGTGTGTAGTAATGACAGTCTAGACGAATCCAAGTCTTCTAGTTCGGAGGTGACATCACCAGAAATGTGTGACTTTTTACCTGGTGATGATGCGTCTGTCTCTTCATCTTCAAAAGATGAGCGTAAAATTGTGCCGCCCTTGACAGTTAGGCTGCATACCCAAAGCGTGTCTAAATGCGTCACTGAAGACGGAAGAACTGTAGCAGTGGGGGATATTGTTTGGGGTAAAATTCATGGATTTCCGTGGTGGCCGGCACGTGTTCTTGACATAAACCTTAGCCAGAAGGAAAATGGGGAACCTTCATGGCGAGAAGCCAAAGTTTCATGGTTTGGTTCTCCAACGACTTCATTCTTATCTGTTTCAAAACTTTCTCCTTTCTCTGAATTTTTCAAATTGAGATTTAATCGCAAGAAGAAAGGGATGTATCGGAAAGCTATCACAGAGGCTGCGAAGGCGGTGGAGCACCTGACTCCAGAAATAAGAGATCTCTTAACACAGTTTGAAACATAACTGTGCCACCAGTATCAGGTGAGTGCTTGCTGGGCCAGTGCTTCCTTCGGAGGAGCTTCCATGTCTTTTTTTAACCAACATTCCACTGTTTGCATTTCTTTTTCTTAAGAACTCATCTCAGCAGTTCTTAAACTTAATTGCCTGGGTGTGAGTAGGTGGTGGTAATTTCAGAGGTGATAAGAGCTGTTAGCTCTACAGCTTTGGGAGGACTTTGGGATCAATGCTCAAATCCCAGAGGGGAGCACAAAGCAGCTGACCCCTTCAGGATGCGAGCAGTGCTTGCTTGGAGAGCTGATAAATTGCAGAGGTATGTGAGAATCGTTTGCAGCTGGGATGTGGTGAGTATTGGTGGTAACTCAGTTGAGACAGAACTAATCCTGTCAGGCTGAAGGGTCAGCAGCCCCAGGCTGTTTTCTGAACTAAGACTCTTCCTGGAGTTGAGGTTGTATTTATCATACCTAGGTGCTGATACCAAGCGGTTACCCACAAGAATTAGATGCTTTTGAAGGTCCTTTCTTTCCATGCAGTTACTGCAACCTCTGCACTGTTTATTTCTTATGATGGCACTTTCTTTATGACTATTGAAAATGATGCTACTAAAAACTGGCTGCTGGGGAGCAGTATTCCACAGTGCCCCTGGCTTGGCTTGTTGCAGCGTTGGCGCATTGCTGCAGGCCGGTCAGGGTCACCAACTGCTGTTCTTTTGGTCTTCACCTGCAGCCTCTTGGAGGACATGATTGGGAATGTGAAAATGAGAATTAATTCTTTTTGATGCCTCTGTATTGTACTTCTGCTGGTTGCAAGCATGGAGGTGGGTAGGTCTCCCCTCACACCAAACAGTCAAAACTTTGTCCCTGTTGAAAATGCAGTAGCTGTGAATGCCAGGCGTGGTGTGACTGGGAATGGGATGGCCGTGTGTAACACTGGTGCCGCCTGCTGCACTGCCCTCACTGAAATCCATGGGGAAAATTCCATCAACTTGAGTAAGATCTAGAACTGTTTCACAACCTTCCAGTTGTAGTTTTCTAGGTCCCACCTAGAAAACTGTATCTGTGATACTCTTAAACAAGGGGATGGATTAGTTTTTAATCTGAAAACTATTACTTATCATTAGGAAGAATCTTGTTGTCAAATGTATACCTGTTAGTGTCCTGCAGTGGATTTTTACTGGTTCATTATGTTGTCCTGTAAGCTTTTCCTCAAGTTTTCCTTCTCATGCCAGAAGGAGTCTTTGTGTGCATGAGCCAGTGCTGCTCCTGCTGCAGGCTGCTCAGTGTTCTATACCTCAGCAATTGGAATGCAATGGGACTGTGATGGGTAGTGCTCCTATAATGCTGGGGCTGTGGGGCTTCACCATTTGCTGGAGAGTGATGAACTTGCTTGAATTGAGTTATTCCATCCCAACAAGCCTGGTTGGAGTGCGTACTGAGATTGTGGCATGTTCATCTTGTAGGCTCAGGGTTCACAGAATCACCAAGGTTGGAAAAGACCTTTAAGATCATCCAGTCCAACTATCAGTTCTGGACAACTGGACAGTCAGTCAAGTAAGAATATGTAATGGCAGCAGCAGCATTTAAGCTTTGGCCTTGATCTTGCTGCTTAATTGTGGCTAAAAGCTTTATTATATTGAGAGTGTTCAGATTGGACCCAAATTTGTTACTAGCTAGATCTGAAGCATAAATAATCCTAATGCTCAGAAGGTGCGTTATGGTGAATAATAGCCAGAATCCATGGCTCCTGGATAAACCAATCTGGGGCCATGTCAGCAGGTGGATGCTGTTGCCTGCGTAATACTGGTGGGCTCTGCTGTCCTGTAGGCACAGAGCAGAGAGGATGGAGCAGGTCCATAAATTGAGGGGAAAGAGAAGATGATGAGAACAACGAGAAAATGATGTGATGACCATGGCTACACCATACCCTTCCTTACCTGTGAGTTCTTTGGCTGAGCCTCCCTACGTACATACAAATGCATAGAGGCATTTACCATGTACTGCTGTTGTGTTGGTGGTCAGTTGGCTTTCTGAGGTTGGTTTTCTGCCTTACTTGTGTCTGAGGTGAGCTGCCTGCATGATGATTTGACAAACAACTGCATTTACTCAGAAGAAAACGAGAAAAGCAGAACAAAACAACTTCCTGTGTTCCACGTGTGCCATGTTTGCTCAGATTCCCTGCCAAGCCCACGTGCTGGGGCTTTGATACGTCACTTGGATGACAGCTCATTGGTTCTGAGCTTTGCCCTCTATCTAGTTTTCTTCCGCCAGGAGCACAGAACTTTATTGCTTTCCTTGAGTGATCCTAGAGTAGCTCTGCAGCGTTTTCACCAGCTGCTAGTTGACTGTTCTTTCCTGAATGTTGTAACTTAACTTTTCTCTCATGTTTGCATTTCCTTAGTCCTAGGAGTTGCACACTGACACCTGAGCTACAATTAAATGTCAGAAGGCTCTGGTCCTTGATAGGCAGCACAGCCTTGGATCAGTTACAACTGTTTCCAGGAGCAGGCATGTGGCTGTAATATTGCACTTTGCAGCTGGAGAAGTCCACTGTGTTGCGACTTCTCCAGGAGCTGCACAAGGGCCCCTTGCTGTGCTCAGGAGGTGCATCCAGCACCTGCACTTCGGTCCTGACCGTCCAGGCACTGCAGAGCTTTGGAGCTGCTGACACATTCTGTTGTGGATCTCTGCTGACATATGGTGCTCTTCTGTAAGTCACGGAGAGGAACTGCTGGAAAAAACATACAAACCATTTAAGTAATTTGTGAATGCATAAAAACAGCAAGCAACTGGATTTAAAAAAAAAGAAAACTTTTTGGGTTGGAAAACCTGGTATGACGGTTTTGAGTTTCTATTATTCTATCCTTATTCTTTTGCAAGGAGTGTACTTTATTAAAACCCTGTCACTGTCTATTAAGCCAAGGTTTCTGGAAGAACAGCAGGGAGGCTAGCAGCTCATAAAAGCCACGTTGTAAGACACTTGGTTCAGAGTGTAGCCAGGAGAAAAACACACACTCAGCATGTTCTCAGGCCTTGTAGCTTCTGCTTTTGTAGCCTCTGTGCAGGGCTGCCAGCAGCCCAGCACTGTGTGCGCTGCAGAGATGGCTCCTGCTTCGCGGCTGAGTTTGTACTGGTGCCACAGCGCTGATACTGGCTCTGCTCACTCTGAGGCTGAAGGCCAGTGTTAACAGCAGTGCCTGAAAGCAGTGACAGCACCAGCAGATGAGATGGCCTCACTGGCCTGGGCCTGCCCTGCTGGCTGTCGGGTCCCATGTTCCCTGGGATTGAAGCCAACACTTGGCCCGGCCCTTACTTGGGGTTCTTCCTACTGCAGAGCGTGGAAAAGTGGGTGCCTGGGATTGTGGAGGGCACTGGCTCTATCAGTCCTTTGGAAAGCCCTTCAGTGCCTTCTGAAGTCCCAGCTGGGGGTGGGCTGTGTGCTCCCTGCCTTCTGCGGGAGGATGGTTCAGGCTCAGGTCTGGCCCTGCAGCTCTGGGGCTTCTGCAGCAGCTTGGGGGCTGGAGGCTGCTGGGAACAGGAGCGCTGTGTCCCTGAGCTGCCCAGCCTGGGAGGAGGTGCCCTGTGGCAGCAGCTGGCAATGCGAGAAATACAGTGGGGAACTTGTCTTTCGTGTACCAAAGTGGCTGCTGTGGAGAGCTGAGCTCTTGGTGATCAGAGCTATGGACTATAGCTTGGGGGAAAAAAAAATAAAAGAAGAAACTGAGGCTGAAATATGGAGTGGAAGAGACTGACCTCAGCACTGCCTGCCTGGAGTGATAACTGTGAGGCTTTTACAGACCTGGTGGGAATTCTTGTGTTGTCCTCAGCCTGGTTCAGGTCTGGGATTTGTCTGCAGAGGTGGGGGGTGCGGTCAGAAAGGCTTTCTGGGGAGTGGTGGGGCTGCAGCTGGGTGCTGGGAATGCATTTCTCAACAGCCTCCACTGTGGGATGTGCCCAGGAACCAGGTCCCATGTGCTGTGGCACTGCAGCCTGACTGTGCACTCTGTAGCTGATGCTCTCCTGAGAACAGGAAGCTCTCTTGCACTGTTGCATTTGCTTTTTGCTCACTTTTTTGATAACATCATATTTGAACTTCATATTTAGTCCTGGAGCTGCCTAAACTTCAAGTTCCTAGAGCCAAACAATTGCTTTTCTGTTATCTTTCGCAGTGATTAAAAAGCTGGCTTATCTCAGTTATTATATAGGCAGCTCTTTAATAGTAAAGCTCTTTACAAAAGCTGCTTGTAGACTTTCATATATGTCGCTATATGGAACAAGTCTACAGTATGTATATTTTCTTATATCTTCTTTATATTTTACAGTATGTACATTTTGTTTTCTAGTCTGGAATGTCCTTTATTCCCCGTTGCCCCCAGGCATGCTGTGGCTGTGATACCATTAAATGTTAAAAAGCTGCCTTTTTGAGGATTTTAGTTGTACTGCTATTAGCTGATAGACCCTCCGCATCCATCCATTCACCATTCGTCAACAAAGCACCCTGCAACTCCATACAGCAGAAATCAAAGCTTATTGCGTGCTTGCTATATATAGTAAGCTCTAATGTAAAATTTGGAACGTTGGGTTATGACTTCACCTTCAAAGATGTTCAGGGCTCCGTACGTGCATGCAGCCAGTGCTGCCTGCCAGCAGTTCATGAAGCAACATAAACCGGTCTTCTTTTTCCTTTTACTCCTTCTCTCTGCTCTACCAGTGGCACCAAAAAGGTTATATAACTGCATAGAAAACTGTGGTGATTGCTGTGGTAGCCGTAGTTCTAAAAACACCTACCTGGTCACGTGGAATATTTCAGCCCAGAAGTGGAGTGCTCGAGATTTTTCTTGGCCTGGTTTCTGGATGGTTCAGTCAACTAAGACCAAGCATTCTGCTTAATTACTGCCTCTCAAAAGTCTTCCTTCAGACAGCTTGGAGTCAGCGTTGTGTACACTGACACAAAGTGGGAGAACAAGTCTGGAGCAGCCTGCACTGCATACCTCTGTGCCTGCTGCTGGGGACTGCAGCTGCAGCTCT